TTATTTTTTACAACTTAGATGAAAAACTAAATGTACTTCATTGAATTTTTTTTATATACAATAGTTATCTAAGATTGTTATGTTATTAGAAAAATTAATAATAAAATATTATTAATTAGAAATAATTACAAAAAAATTATTTGTTAAAATACAACTTATATAGATTTGGTCATATTTAGATTTTAAAAGAATTAAATAATTCAAAATAATCAAAATAAAGACATAACTAAATTTGATAAAACAATGACAAGATTTAGGATTTAGGATTTAAGTTAAAGATTACAAAAAAATTATATTATAAGAATAGATACCTACATTAAATAGGAGCCTTGAAAGTATGAAGGCTACCTAAGATAGAAAAAATTCTCTTTTATTTTTTGAACTTAATACTAAGTACTATTTTATTAAAATTGACTTAATTTTTAAGTATAAAGTTTTTGTTTTGGTGATTTTTGTAGCTAATGACAAATTGGTATTTTATTTAAAATAATCTCAAATAATATTGTTTCTTTATGTATTTAGAATTTATCTTAAGACTTTTATTTGATTCTATCTTATTGCAATTATTACTCTCCATCCAACAAATTACTTCTTTTTTGTTAATACTTCTTATTTTATAGGAAAGAAAGTGTTTTTGTTTTTATCTTATATTGTCAACCAATATCTTAGATCCTTCTTAAAATAAGGTTCAAAATGAGATGTCTAAATAAATCTATGGTCAGTATTAAAGGATTTTAAATTCTTTATGCTAAGTCTAGTCTTTTCAGCCATTACAACTTTTTCTATTTTTTTCTCTTCTCCTTCTTAACTTAATTCTTAGACCAAGTTAATCAATTATGTTTTATTTAGATTAGCATTAATTCAAATTTTATTTTATAAAATTATTTTAAAAATATTTCAAACTAAAATAATTTTAAAACTATCAAGTATTCTTTATTAGATCAAAAATATTTTTGATTAAATATTTTTTAATTAAATTATTTTTGCTGGCTACAAATTCTATCAACTTGCAAGCAAAGTCAATTAAGCAGTTTTTTACAATTATGATGAATATCAACTAAAAACCAATGTTTCATTGAATATCACATAAGATTTACTAAAAGACGAAAGTTTTAACAAAGTATTTTTTAAATTATTCCATTTTAAGCATGGCCTATACTATATCAACTACAATTTAGTTTTTTGTTTGACTTTAATAAAAGTTTATTTAACCTACTCTATTCAATTGTAGCATTCATGGTTTAAACAACTCAAAAGAAAAAAATTCATACTTTAAACAATATTTCTTGTTTGTACATACATTAGATTTTAAAATATCTTTATTTTAATTTAGTATTCCTTCAATAAAATTCTCTAGCCTACTTAGGATAAACAAACTATAGACACTATTTTATATAATAAAGATGGTGAGATATTTTTTTGGCTTAATATCATTCTTTTTAAACCAAATCACCAAATAAATAACAAGTGTAAATGTTAACAATTAAAAAACACTTTTTTTCTATTTTACACACACTTTTGTCCAAATAATCTAAAAAGTAAGTTCTAATTATTAAATATGCTATTCTAAGTAAATACCAACACAAGTTTTAATCTTTAAGATAAAAAATGACAATTAGCTCATCAATGGCTTAAAGCATATGCCTCAATTCTACCTTGCTAATGAATCATACCATCTCCAAACCTCCCTCCTTTCTCTTCTACATATAAACAAGATAATTCTTTATTCTAACCAAATGCTTGTCAATATATTTATATTGATTCTATTTTTTAATAAAATATTTTTAAAAATATTATATAAAGAAATTTTAAAATTCAAATCAAACAACTTTATGCCAATATCTATAATTATGAAAAAAAACATCTTTAGTTCTAGCAATATTACAACCATGCCTTGAGCATCCACCCTTAGCTTTAATATTATCCTAACACCATCTAAATTTTTCTACACACTTCCAACTCAAAAGATCTTATAGCACTATTTTATACTTTATCAAATACCATTTAATTTACCGTTTTTAAAATAGTATTTCAATCTTCTCCAATTTCTATCAATTCTAACAACCATGCAAGAATGTTCCTATCTCCAATAAATTTCTTAGCTCCAATGCCCTCACATTAATAACTAAAACCTCACAAATTTCTTTTTATGCTAGCTATACTATAATTCCACCTCAAATAACAAGTGCTTGTGCCTCTAATATGTCATGGATATACATATTTATGCCAATAATTACCTAAATAATATGAATAGGTAGAAGTAGTTAAAAGTAGATAATTTTCATAATATTTTAGAAGCGTCATAGATGCAATTTGCAAAGAGTAATAAAGCCTTTTGCAAATTGTGACACCAATCTTTCAATAACTAATATTTCTAATTCTATTTTTATACCAATGCTACTATAATTTAATAATAGTCTATTTGGCTTTATATTTTAATAAATATTAGATATTGTCTTCAAACTAATTAATTTAAGCTTCCACACTTCAATTGATGTAAGTTGCAATTGACACCAACATGGATCAATCTTAAACCTTTTGTCTCTAAACCAAAACAAATAAATCACTTGATAAATTAATGTGTATTAGTTTAGCACAATATAATGTACTAATTGAATGATGTAAACATTGTTTATAACATTGCCTACAACTACACCACCTATTTGGTCCTATATTAAAAAAATCAAAATTTTTAAGATACATGGCAATAACACAAGCATCAACTAGACAACAATGCTCCAATTAAACAATGCATCTGAATCTATAACTCTTATCTTAGAATTAATTAGAGTAATTATAAAATTATAAAAAATAACCACAATTAACCATAATTTATCTTTAAGTATAACCTCAAATATTAAATCTTTGTTTGAAGAGAAGTAATTAGATTTAAATACACAATTGAAAATATTTTTAAATACATGCAAGACATTTGACATCACAATGATGATATGGTCTAAAAATTTATCATTTATTATGAGGCATATCAAAACTTTAAAAAAATTAAAAAATAAAAAATACATGCATATCAAGCTATCACTAAATATAATGTCTTAAAAAAAGGGGAGGGACTTTAATAAAAATCTTAATTCAAATAAACACTTTCTAATAAAACCAATATCTAAACATTACCATGATTAAAGAAAAAATTACCTAATTTTTTGGATTTAACTTTGGAGATTAAATCTCTTAAGCTATCATTCAAAGGACTCCAAATTAAGTAGAGTTTAGAATCCTATCTATCCTTCCAACAAGGATCTATGCCTCCTTCCATGACCCATGACCAATATCCCAACTACAAGGACTTTTAACCAATAAAAATGTCAAAGAAAATATTATTGACAAAAAAAAAAAAAAAAATCAAATTTGTGTACTAAAGACATCAATCTACAAATCTTCTTTTCCAATCTAAAGATTTGCAACTAAGGTTGACCTCTTAGAAGTAGACTTCATTAAAGATGGAAACAATATTAATTAGAGAGATTTACTCACCATTGGATCTAAATCAATAAGATTTGGATAGTAAGAAAAATTGAAATTAGTAAGATCCAAGTAGTTGTCTAAGGTAGGTTAGAAATATTTGATCTACTTAATAATCAAATCCAACTAACAAAATTAAGATCACTTAATAATCAAATACTTGAGTTAAATTTGATTATGACAAAATAATAAAATAGCGACTAAAGCAAAATATAGTTAGTTTCCATAATCAAATATGAATAGTATAAGTGTACAACAAACTTGAGTTGAATGGACTCTCATTTGATTTGTTGTTTTAGCTATCTTATTAAAATTATACATCATGTTTAGACCATTTGGTATAAATTTGATTTTAACATTATTTTTCTTCTTTTATTTTTTTGTATTAATCAAAGTGATGTTATTTCAATCCAACTCATTATATTAGTTAGTACATAATTCTTTACAACCAAAGTTTAGTTTTCAACTTATTCATTTTGGAAAAAGTTAATTGTATTGAGTTGTGTTGTAAATTGATATTAATTAAAGATAAAGCCATCTAGAGACTTTTTAGAATTGATTATTGAATTTGACCAACTTGCTTATAGGAATGTGATCCAAACTGAAAAATTTCGGACCAACAAATGCTTGCAATATTAAAGCCCAGACCATTGGCTGTATGAAGTGATGTCTAAATTTCTAGTCAAGAATCCTTTTGTTATTAAACTAGATAAATACTTATCTCAAAACTCATCTATATAATGCCTAGTCTAAGGGTAGATTTGCCTGAGTTCCTCAAAATATGTTAGATTAAAAAAAAATTATAAATTAGTATCCAACACTGGTGTTTGTTAAATCCTTGTAACATCACTTTTACAATAAGAAATTAAAGTTTAAAACTTAATGCTTTTGAAGAATAATGCACTAAATTAGAAGCTTTTATTAGAATCTAGCAAAATATATTATAATTTTATTACTAATGAATCATATTTTGCCAACAAGTAGAGTCTAAGACATCCTTTGCTCATTCCACTCCCACCATATTGATGAATCTCTTAGACTACATTCATGAACACATCAAGATTTCATCCCATGCTTTATCCCATGCTTGGGCCCTAGGGTCTACATTCCTGACCACACCAGGAAAAGCTTGCAAATTTAAAATTTTATGACGTGCGTCCTACGAAAAACCTTGGAATTGGATGAAAATTTATTCCAAAAATTATACCCTCAATGCCTAGATTGGAATGAATTCACCCGAACTCCCCAAGCCATGTTGGCCTGAGTACAAAATGTGAATTGATATTCAACAACGAATGTCTCAAATATCTCTTAAACACTATTTTCACACAACAATCAACTTTTGAGGGACAATGCACTAAATTATACGCTTGTACTAGACTCTTGCGCAGAAAAACTTCAGTCAACCACTGACTTAAACAACAGCTCATGACAGCGATTGTCCAATACACCGAACATCCTCGAACTTTAGCATGATAACAAGAAAGACTGCATTTCAACTTTGAGCTTCTGCAACACCGTAGCAAAAAATAGATCCCTGTAAAAGGCCCTTATTTGCATTAAACGAATGTTAGCTATTTCAGACCCAACTAATGTGGTCCAAAAAACCGCCAAAAGCCAGGCTCGTCTGATGAGTGGCCCAGTTTCCAGACACCAGGTGTCTCAAAAAGAGAGGTTACCTAATCTTCAGCTGGAACAACTATTGTGGAGAGAAATGGGAATTCTACTGATTTGCCACCCTGATCTTCTAGCCAAGACTAAACATGCAACTGGGTCCCTAATACGACTGGTTCAGCCTGGCCAAAGATGATCTTTACTACCGTCCTCTCAGTAACTAGTGCATGTGCACCCCTAAAGGCAGCTAACTAAAAGGCGTAGGCAAAAACATATTTCAGTCACCCTTCAATGAAGTATGGGAAAGAGACTAGTGTTTTCCCAACAACTTGATGTGGTGCACCTATGATAATCATAGAATAGGAAGGGAGAGCGATTCTCCCTTTTGTAGCCTCGAACAAACTACCTATTATGGAACTCATATGAAAAGTTCGAGTGAATTTATACAACTTGGTAGCTGTCCACTACCAATTGCGTCCGTTTTCCAAACTTGACAGTGTTACCATTCTGAGTTTGAATCACGGATCCAACCTGCCAAACACACCGGCCAGTGAGCAACCATTTCATTTACAATTGAAAAAGTGTCACAGAAAAGATATTGTGCCCTGCAACTCTAATACCACACATATTTGGTGCGAAAAAGGCACCTTTAAATCGCAGAAGGTCTTGTTTGCTGTAAACTTGACATCTATAGGAAAGAACGAATTTGGATCTGCTGCAGGTACAACAAACTCCATCGATCCACTGCACCAAGGAGACCAGGTGACGTCACTTGTCAAAAAATGAGAATCTAGAAATCTAAGTCGTTAAAAGGAGAATTTTCCAACACCAAGCGATTGCAATACTAGCTCATTAATACCTTCTGTTAGAATTATCGATCAGCGTAATGTTCCACTCCAATACAGAATTCCTGGAATCAAACCTGGGGGATCACAGCAGCATGCAGTACGGATCAGGAATTGCATTGAAAGAAACACGAAAAAGTAAGTGCATCGGTACAAGAGGACATAAGGTTCACTTGGTTCGCAACTAAATTCACTGACCTCCATTCACCATCCACTTGGTTAACAGTAGGAACATCACGAATTGCTGGCAATGGGATATGTATCACAACATTCTGAAGCTCAAAAGCCCTAGAAGCTTCATATTCGATGTTGACATACGACTCTCCACCGGATAGGGATGGCCAGCAGTTAACTGTACAAAAGAAAAGCAATTTTATGATTAGGAAGTCAGCAATTTTATTACTAACTCCATTTCATGCATAAAATGAGCACTGTGAGTAAATACTTCCCTGTACCATAAAATACAACCAAGAATGCAGAGAAATTACAGCCACAAACGTAGTTAAAATCCATAGATACAGACCTGGACAAAGACCTGGACAGAGACCTAGACACATGGAAAATTCCATTGCAATGAACAAACTCATGGACTCGAAACCAACATTCTGACATGTGCAAACTAATATAATAATAAGTTTTCATACATAGTTGAAGAATGTAAGATGCAACAACTGCTTACTGCTCAGAGGAACCATCGACTCCTGCTTGCTTTGCATACGCCACTTCAAGATACCCAGAGGATTGCCTGTGGGAAATGGCCTACTAGGATCCTTAAGACCCAGAACGTTCCTCTCAGAGTAAAGGTTTTTGTCAATATTTGGATGGGTCTTGAAATTGAAATTTGAGTTTGCGCTTGACTCAACCTGTTGAGAAAATGGTCAGCAGAAAAACTGTAAGTTACTTGGTCCGTATAAAAACGAAAGCTGTAGAGCTGGAGTAAACAACACAAAGACATTCAAAACGTGTTTCCTAACAACACGGACAAAATATGATGGCATTAAGTACCTGGACCCGAATGTAAGCATCTTCTTCCTTTTGAACTACAAGAGACATGTTACCCTGTACTTCCAAATTCTCAAGACCCCCATCCTTCCTTAAAACAACCACAAGCTTCTCCTCCACGCCAATCATGATAGGATCTGAACTGATGGGTACAGCAGCTGCTGATCTGAGTGGTCCAGGTGCAATGTCCTCAACAATAACCTCACCCTCCGCTTTGAGAGACTCTAGGAACTGATTGGTTTTGGTTGACTTGCCCAATTGCATGCCCCCTTTTGAAGGAGCTGAGGAAGAGATAACTCGGGCTGAAACAGCAGGATGTAGATTTTAGTCGCATACATCAAACGTTTAAATGGCCATCAAGTATTTACTAGTAAATAACCAAGCAGGAACAGCGGGTCGTGAAGAGAACGGCGTTTATAAGTGAACAGACCTGGAGGTTTGAAAACATCAGTGTCAAGGCCTGGCACAAAGCCGGATAAATTACTTCTTGCGCCTCCACCCATTGAAGAGTTTGTGTCGCTAAAACCGTTGTCAAACCTTGAACCCATTGAAGGCATGGATGAAACATAGTTTCCTTTGTCACCTCTGCCTTTCTCGATCTACATTTCATGTAAAATTAGGATGACATGAATCAGGACTAGCAATATACTACAATGCAAAATCAACACCATCGTGACAAGACTTCTAGAAGATTTTCAAAAGCACTTCCACTAGCCTAAAACCTAGGTACTGAAGGCTAGTACAAGAGTAACTAACGAACATGGTTGACACCAGCTTAACTACATGAATTCAAGTTTCCATCACTCAGTGTCTTAGGAAAAAGCATGTATGAAAAGGGCCTCTCTAATGAATTAAAATCTCAAATGCTATCACAGTGTAGTATACCCTGTTCTTCTCGATTTCGTTTGCCTTGCGCTTCATGAGATCTTTCGTGTCGTTGATTTTACTCTCCATAATACGCTTGTGCATCCTTTCTTCATGACTCTCCATCTCCACATACTGCTTGACTTGCGCGATAGTAACATTTTCTTTATGACCTAAAGAAATCACTTCATCGAAGGCAAATATAAGTTCAAAGGCCATCCTGCAGATACTCTCCTCGTCAAGGGATGGAACGTATTCAGGTACCTGATGTAAGTCAAGGAGTGTCATATAAAATACTCACGAAAAAACCCGGCCATGCGGATACGTACTTCAATTAGGAATAGAGAATATCATCAACAGTACGAGGCTGAATTGAGAACTTGGCCGACAATGATGACATAGCTAAGAGATGACAAAATAAAGCACATAATCCGTGGCAACATGCGCAATGACTGCTAAGTATTGTAAATATATATGATGGTTGCACTACAACAAAATATGAACTGGAAGAGGATACAAGCTTGGAGAGGAGTTGTAACGTGTCCCGATCTTCTAAAATGTTGCTCTGCTTGTTGGTCACCAGAAGAAGGAACAATGACTCCATTGGCTGATAGACATAACGAACATTGTCTGTCTCAACATATGTATGCTGCTTTCCGATACCAACAAGCTTGGGGAAGGTGGCGAGCAATCCCTCAATTCGAATCCTGGACATGTCCACATACTGCCGAGAAACCAAAGCTGCAAAATAGTACCCAAATATTCAAGATTTTAGCTGTACAGTAGATTCTGCGACAATCCCACAACACCACTGGCCATACATAAAGATACAACTTTCCGAACAAAGGAAGCTAGATATACTGCAAGAAAGCTCATTCCAACTGAGTGTCAGAAACAAGTGTCGAATCCTAATAACAAATAAAGCGCAGACCTCAAAAACAAAAAACAAAAACCAAAAAAAAAAAAAAAACAAAACAAAACAAATGCAGCTGCCATAAGCTATGCTTCTAAACGAATATTATATCCCAAGCCGCTATATATCCAACTAGAACACTGCCACACTAAACCAAGTGCAAGATCGGGATCTACACAGCAACGTCTCCATTCATATTAATGTAGATTCTTCTCATTGGCGATGACGAATCCACAAAATCCTGACAAAATTCTAGAACCTCCACTAGGGAAGACCATTCTCCATACATCAGAAAACCCTAAATAATCCCCCGTTTTGTTTGCCTCGAACACAACTATCCCGACTAATACCACGCGATTGCGCACAACAATAGTGTACTAGGCACATCTTCAGGTCCACGATGCCGTACCCGTAATGTGTGACTGTAAGACTAGAGACTAAAGACCACGGAAAAATCCTACTAATGCATTACGCCATACCTTTCCCGGACTTGCTGATGATAGACGCTGCCAGCACCACCTGCCGCAAGCAAGACACTCTCACTTTTTAGCGCAGATACACGCACAGAGAGGTAGGTCACTCTCAAACCCTCCTTCACACAACCGATCAAATCGATCCCCCCATTCGTCCACACACACACACACAACAAATAAATAAACAAACGAACAAACGATATGGCGGAAATGCAGACGAGGCCTACCATTGTGCCCGGCTTCAAACAAGACCAAATGCAATCGCCTTCGGGACAAGCTCAATCGGTAACAATCCCACCCCCCCTGTCCGCTGGCTATCGACACTCCCGCATTTCTCCGCAACAACTCCCTCCCTCTTCTATCGAACAGGAAACTGCACCAAAAACCGTCGAAACGGTCTTAAAAATACGCAAATATCGGGGTGACGAGGCTGAGAACAGCCGTACCTCAGATCCGTGGAGCAAATGCACAAGATCTGAGACAGCGTGGGTGAAACGAAGGGCAAGCAACGGAGCACTAGGGCGACGAGCGTGCGAGCAAACGAGTCTCAGGCAACAAAAGGGACTTGTGAGCTCCCTGACTTGGAGGGGCATTCCGCGGGTGCGGGCCGGGTTGATGGGCTGCATCCGCGCGCCCGCGCCCGCTCTGTGACATCATTGCCACGATGCTTCTACCAGCAAGGCTTTGATTGAGTTTGCCAAAGCATATATATATGCATATAATGTATAATATAAGTATATAAATATACACACATAATTACTAAAATTAAAATTCGAAATGATAAAGACATATTTGAAAAAGATCATTCAGTATAAACACTTATGTGTTTTTTGTATAATCAAAATTACCATGAAACCAATTTTCTTTTTTTAATCTCATTTAAAATATTGAAGGATTGTTATATACATAGTTCATATAAATTACATATGTTAAAAAAAATTATGGAAACTTTAGAAAATTAAAAAATCTATCACATCCTTACACTTTGTTTTGGATTAGTACAATGTTCTATTCAAAGAAAAGTATTTTTGTGGATTGAATCAAACCATATCAAATTATTTCAAGTCAATATTTATTAATTTTAAAGGTCAAACATAACTTGGTGTGAATATATATATATATATATATATTCATAATTTATTAAATTAATATACAATACATACAACTACTTGATTATTGATTATATATTTTATCAATATATAATAGTTGTAATAGTATAGCATTAATAAATTAGTAATTTTATATATATACCATTCTTAATTTATATCTCATAACTAATATTCTTAGCTTACTTAATAATATTTTTTGGAATAGAAGTTGTTCTATGTTATGAATCTATAACCTTGTTTTTTTATTAATATATATATAATTTAAGTGAAGAATTAAGTAAACTAATTTATTATTTAAGTGTTGATTCTTTGCCACAAATAGATATATTTAGGACCAAAAAGAATAGAAATCATTTGTTTGTGCATTTAGAAATTAAAATAAATATATGTTGATGTATTTTGTTTAGATAGATTGATAGCTTCAACTTAGATGGATTAATAACTTTGAGTTGATACATATAATAATCTTAGAAACTTAATCCTAATTTTATTTATATTTAAATTCTATGCAAAGTTTAATTAATAATCACAATAGAATTAATGGATTATTTTGAAGATGTAGCCACTGCCTTTGTTTTTATAATGGTTCTTATTTTTGCCTTTGGTCTCTTAAGTATGCTTTACTACTGCAGAGATTAAATTAATATTTACAAAAAGAAAGATGTCAAGGGTCATAACATAGTTAGTGAATTCTTTACATATTTTATGTTTTTATTTGTATATTTTGTCGCATTTCAATCCTAGTATAAATGATAGTCAATCTATGGTTTAGTATTTTTTGTTGTTCATTGTTCATTATTACAACTAAGTCTTTGTACTTCTTTATACCACACATATAATTCACCTTAGCTCAAACCAATGTTCTTCAATATCACATTTTTGGTCTCAACTTGCTCTCATCATTGCAATATTTTGGTACATATATAGTATAAATGATAATACAATACATCAACTTAAGAAGCAAGATATAGCTCAAGTGTGTGTTTTATGAAGGACTTTATTTTATTAGCTTTCAATATTCTTTTTCTTATGATATCAATTCTTGTCAATTAGAGACACATCGAAGATCCATTAAGTTGTTTAGGTATTTGTTTTTGGATAATACTTAAATTAAATGTAATGAAATTGACTTGACTATAGATTCAAGGTAGATGAGATGTTGTTAGCCCTAGTAACATGATTGATGGGCATGTTGGTAGCATCTAATTTTTTTAAAATTTAGTTGGTTATTAAGATTTCTCTACAATAGACTACATAGCCAAGTTATCTTATGTTTTCTTTTTTGCCTTGTTATCTTATGTTTTATACTTTTTTCTTTTGGTTTTTGTTTGTGATGTATTGAGATATATTATAGTGTTGCTAAAACTTTGATATAATGTTTGTATAGTTATTTTTATAGAAAGCCATAGCTTGTATGCAAAGATTAATGCCATGTGTCTTTGATTTAGTTTAAATCATCATCTTTGATTGATTTCAGTATATTAATTTTCTAAAAGAAGTATTATTTACTTATTAATATCAATCACAAGTATATGGTTGTTCAATGTCTAAATCTCTAATGTTGGTGTATTAATATAGAAGTTTTCTTTCAGTAGCAGACCAATATATACATTCAATTGTCTTGCAAAGCTTAGAAGAGGTATGATTTATCACCTTATAGTTTTATAGTATAATTTTTTAATTATCATGTATCATTCTTTTAGATTCTTTCTATTATAAGTTGATTAATACATACTAGTACTCAATTGCTTATTCTTTTGGCTTGTCATCATGGATAAATACTCCATCAAAGAATTTGCTTGCAAAAGAATTTTCTATCAATCACAAATAATATTTTTTTACTTTGTTGTAGAAAGTAAAGATGTAAGAAAAAGAGGTCAAAGTAGAGTATTATATGTTGTGTGATAATGATGAACTAGTAGTAATTTATTTTGGCTGGAGTGTGATAAATAAGCATGATATAGTAAAACTAGTGGCTTCTTGTTCTTTTTTCTACCACCACCACATATAGAAATTTTTACTTCTTTCTTCTATATTATAAGTTTAGTCATATTTTAATTTAGTAATATTTACATGCAATAATAATTTTTATATTGATATTTTAGAGCTATTAGTAATTGTTGCATAAAATAAATAAAAAGATACAAACAAAAAATTCATCCATTGCTACAATACAAGCCTTACATTGTTTATTAATCCACAAATTCCTTTATTGTTTGAATCATCTAAAAACTATAAAATTATATGATTCCACTTAAATTATAAAATCTCCAATAATTTATAAAATTTCTATCTAATAAAGTTGTAAATTAAATGAGATATCTCATTTATAACTTGTAAAACTTTTTGAATTATAAATTTATGCATATCATGTATGTAATTGCTATCAATCTAACATCTTGTATGAAAGAACTATCAATCAACCCATATAGAGTTAGCCAAAAAAATAAAACAAAAATTGTTATATATATATATATATATATATATAAAATAATAAAGTGATCCAAATTTTTACTAAATCCATGTGCCTCGTTCTCAGCCATTCCCTCATTCCCATGTTTCCAACTGTCGCCCCCATTCTCAATGTTCCTAGCCCCCCACCCTTGTCCTTAGCAATTGTTGGGAATGGAGAATAATTGAGAATAGGAATGGAGGCTCCAAGGGTGCAATAATGCTTAAGATAGAGTGGATCGCTTTATTATTTTCATATATATATATATATACATAATTATTTTTTCTTTTGTTCCACAACAATTATTGCATTTCAAACTATATAAGCATTTGTAAAAAAGATTTTGACAAAAAGATAAGCCTTATTACAAATTTGCATGTAACATTGAGTTGTATAATTACCAGTTGTTGTATTGTCATTAATCAGCCACATAATTGGCATATTTAAATTATAAAAAATGCAAAAGAATTATAAACCATCAACTAAAATTTTGTGCATTTAACAGTTTAATATTTTATATATTTACTTTTGCATTGAATAAATTTCCAAATTTTACAAATATACATTATAAATAATAAAAAATAAGTAATTGAGAATTCCAAAAATGTACATGACAGAGTAGAAATAATTATTAACTCAAAAATTAGGAACAAAATATTAAGTTAATCACAGTTCAGTTTCGACTGTTTTGCAATGACATTAAATCATCTTCTTACATCCTTAATTAATATCCATCCATATTTAACATTCATTAATTATTCAACCAAGAATTATTTTCACTGATGACACATCTGATAGTTCATACTTAATTTTACCTCAACCTTTCAAACATGTGCATGAGAATGCTATGTCAATCTTTTTTGTACAATTCATAGACACTGGTAATGCCATTAAGAAAATAAACAGAAGCAATTAAAACATGGACATTCTGTGACATGATTCTAGTGTTTGTTGATTGCAATGTTTTCGAAGAAATAATTTTAATTTTTTTCTCATCTGGACAATCCATTCTTTAGTGATTGATATTGAGTCCTCAGGAAACCCAACAGGCTTGCTGCTGCTTCAATTCTGTGCGAGGAGAGGCTCCAGTTGCACAGTTTCAATGCAGGAAATAGTAAGACCAAACACATAACTGATCATGCTCAGCAAGCAGCACCAGTCCTGCTATCTCTCATCACAGGTAAAGACAGATCCCTGATCTGTGTGGTGAATAACTACTCACCTCCATCTCTGATGGTGCTCACAAACTATTCTGTATTGTTGAACACCTAAGAAGGTAGAATCAGTATTATTATGGAAGAAGAATGACATGCCTGACGACTGAGAGTGTACTGATTAGCGCGCTATTCTAGCCCTTGCTTTGACTTGAAACTCTGAAAACAATGCATCAGCTTACTTCCACATTGCTCAGCTGTGGAGCATCAGAAGTGCTGGCTTATGCATTTACATCAGGGTCTGTTTTCAGAAGTCTTTTCCCAATAGTTGCATCAGATCTTCTATTTGAATCTTTCGTTCTCTTCTCTGGCTTTATGGATGGCTCTACCTGTAGGTTGGGATCAGAGAATGCTTGTCCATCGCCCACTCTACAGTTTCCACCTGTTAATGACAGAGGTGCAAAAGGGCCAGCAATGAAAGAGGCAGCTAGCCAAAGGCATATAAATCGAAGCATTCCGGCTTGGAACCACGAGATAGCTAGGAAAAGAATCCCAACGCTTGAACAGGCACCTATCAGTACTTTGTTCAGTTCTAGTTCCTCGACGTCGGGTTCTAAGAGCCCTGATAGAAGTTGAAATCTCGGCTTTGCATCGTCTGTGATGTCGAACTCCATTTCTTATGATGAAGATTGTGTATGTGGCTCAAATCTGAAACGAAAAGTGAGACGAGGACATTTAATAATGAGAAAGACAATCCACATGTGAAACTTCAACAACGGCAGATAGAAAGGGCAACAAAAAGAGTGACGATGTTACAGAATCCTCAAGTGCAACAAGTAGAAATATTTTTATCAATGCCATTCGCAAAAGGAGATTCTAAGCAGCAAGAGCCGATGTTCCCAGTGAAGGTTAAAAAACTTAAAGAAAAGAAACTGAACGATCAACGCTGCTTTGAACGTAACCATGTGTTAAGAGACTCTCTATGAATTACATCCTTGGGATGTAGCAACGAAACGCAATTAATCCTCTGCTGCAAGACAAAAATGACAAGAAAAAACTTTCCCATATATGTAAAAGTCCCAAAGGTAACCCTAAACTAGCATTTTTGCCCAGTTCACATCACCTTTCCTCGAACTGATTGGAAAAGAAAAAATAAATAAACAAGAAATCGAAGGAATCATCTTACGTTCAGAAACTAAAGAGTCGTTGCGAGATTTGCAACACATTCCCAGTAACGCGTCCAAAAGAGCTCTTAAGAACAGAGCGTTAGAATGTGATGCACATTCACCTTACAAGCAGTCACAAAGCCTCGCAGAAGAGCATCGCCGAGTAAATCAAGCAACCCACTGGAGAAAATTGCTGTGGACAAGCCGATTAAGCGTTGAAGACTCGCCACTTCTGGATTGTCTCCGAATTCTATAGCGTCGGCCAGGGAGATCCAGGGCTACAGAACACCAAATTTTGCAAAAAACGTGTCGATGTGAAGCTCCAGAGATGGGCACAGTTGACACAGTTTCGGTGGATGCAAATGCGACTATTCAAGATGAGACGCGCAGGATAGTGCGCGCGACGTGCAAAAAAGGTCAGCGTTGGGACAGCTGCTTAGCCCACTCCCGCTGATACCCGGCTTCCGGCTTCTGTTCACACCGACAATGTGATCATCCATTGGATGATATATTTCCGCCTTCCTTTCCCATTCGTGGCACGTTCGTTCCCGAACGTGCACTGGCTCTGGGCTCGTCACTTTTCTTTGTTCTTAGAATTCTGTAGTTCTATGTTGTTGCATTTTAAAATGCAATAATAGAATAAAAAATATTAAAATATTTTTATTTCCATTTAAGAAGACGAGGTTTCTTTAGTTCTAAAATTTTAATTTTTGAACACGTTTACTTATGTTGAGTTGTAAAGTTTGAAGGATATTGTACATCTTGTTTTGTCAAATAAAAATCTATCTAAAAGTTTTAGTTGATAATATGAATATTTTGAAGGAAGTAAGTAATGAAACACATGCGTAGAGATTTTTCTATGATAAAAAAATAATAATCGGTCATTTTTTAATTTAAGAGCAGGATATGGCATGATAGAAGATCAGTGAAAAGTAAAAATTCTTGAATTGTGAAGTTCACATTAGAACTTCAACTATATTGTAAACTTTAAGGAAAATTTAATTAAATTTTTTATGAAAAATAATAATAATAATAATAATAATAATTTAAAATCCATTTAAACATTAATAATCAAAGTTATTTTTTTATTAGTAATAGAATGTGAATTATGCCTTTAAAAAATTAATCCTTGCAGTTAATTATTTTACAAAAGTTTAACAAATAGTTGTAAAAATCAATACAATTCTATAAATGTAAGTGATGAGTGCTAGAAATCTTGATTCTTAATCTATTTTTTACATTTCAACTTTCTTCAAAATCTTGATAGAATTTTGAAAGATTGAGAAGAAAAAGGTTCAGTAATAAAGTTAGAAAGAAAATATAGTGGTCAAATCAAGTATGCAATCAGACAACTGAATCAATATTCAAAGGTTGATGTACATTAAAATAAGAGAATTTAGAGGTTTATTAAATGCCAATGGGATTTGATTGTAATGTAATCATCAATTTTAATAATCACTTGATGATCATTCAAATTGATTTGTAAAATGTATTTTTTGAAGACTTTATTTTTTTTGCAATTATACGTGAAAATAATTAGAAATTAAAATTATATAATATAAAAATTATATTTGAATTTAATACTTAACAAAGACCATATAAAGAAGGATTTTAATATAAATATATATATAAATATATACTAGAAAAAATCCATTTAACAAGTTGAATAATTGTCAAAGTCATTTAGCTACATTAAATCATTTTTGATGGATTTACAATTCACATTTTCTTATTTTGCTAATAAAAAATCATTGTCTTCAACTATTGTAGATTGTTATTTCAAACAAATCACACATCAACTAATGACGGTATATAACTAAATTCACAAAGAAAAAAAAAAGAAAAAAAGTTTGATTGATCTTTATCTAGCTTATAGACAATTTGTTGGTGGATTTTCATTTAGAAATTTTTTTGTGAATAGTTGTAGACAACATATTTGGTTTAGAATTTAGGATTTATAAATAATTAAAGTCTATAAATAATTAATACAATTTTTTTTTATAAATACAAAAGTACATATTCTTTTCTATTTTAGCACATAATTAAGAGTACTATATTTGCTATAGTTCCATCATTCCTATAAAGTTTTATCTTGAGAAAATAAATACTACAAAATTGTATAGTGACCTTCTTCTTGTTAAGAATTTCTATCAAAATGGATATTACAATTATAAATTTAATCATGAGACTTGGATCCAAAAATGTAGTAGTGAGTTTTTTATTCAAATTGACATTATATTTCTTCTCCTTTATAAAGGCTCTTGTAAAATAGATATAATACATAATATATAATCCATAAGAATATCATAGCCGTAAATCACACATGATAGTAAGCTTCAATTAGATGCCTCTATTGATCCTTGTTAAAAAGAATAACAATAACAACATCAATAACAATAACAAATAAAAAGACTGGCAATATGGTAGAGTCAAGTATGTCACACATTGCAGCATCAATTAAACCAAACATAGCAAAAAATGAAAATTTAAACAATTGATAGTATAGTAAGTGATGATAATATGCACGCAATGGTTGCCTATCAATACATTAGTAGCCTTGTTATATTTGCGGTTTAGCAAAAATATCACAAAGCAATGAAATGAATTGTATGATGCAAAGAAGTTTCTTAATGATCTTCTATTATGACTATTACTTATACAATGTTGTATTGTAATTTTTTATAGTATGTAAAAATTAACTTAAATATATAATTTATTTATAAGTGCTGATATGCATTAAAATGGTTATTAGTTTAATTTAAAGAGAGTTGATGTAAGAAAATAATTTTTTAAGGTTTACATATATGTCACGGACACAAAAATACATGCTCGAGATCTAACAAGAAGTTCAAGAAGAACTGGCAAGAACTAGATTAATCAGATGAATACAAGAACAACACTAGAGAGGTGAGCTAGAGCTCTAAGAGATGTATTGTCGAGACTGAAGAACTCTTCAGCCTCGATTCCAATATATACTCCTATTTACGAAACTTCTCAAGTAACTTCCACCAATAAGAAAGCTTCTAGAAGGTTCTAGAGACTTGCTTCTAGAAGATTCTAGAAACTTGTCTCTAAAAGGTTCTAAGGACTACGTCCCTAACATCTTCTACCAACTAGGAAGCTTCTCAAGCAACTTCCATCAACTACGAAGCTTCTAGAAGGTTCCAGAGACTTGTTTCTAGAAGGTTCTAGAAACTTATTTTTAGAAGGTTCTAAAGACTATGTCCCTAACATCACCCTCTCCTTTAGCTTCGAGGTCTCTGAGAAGCAATGTTGTTGTTAATCAGTACCAATGCAAGAAAATGAAGATCTGTCGCATAACGTCTGCTATAAAATCCAACTGTTGTTCACGAGGCAAGTGGTTCATCGGCCCTTGAAGCCAATGGTAGTGGCCCACGCCTTTGACTTCTGACCAAGTATGAACTTTCGTATCCTCATTGTGAAATTGTCCTGCAAACACGCCTTCAGGCTCACCATGGTAAGCAGGCTCGAACTTAAATACAATCACCAGTGATCGGTTACTCGATATCCTCCGTCGTCGTCGTGGTATAGGTGGTTCTTTATCTCGGGGTCGCCTTCGTGAGCTAGTCGGTTGAGATAATCTGACTGGCATAGTATCTATTTCTTGGCTATCCATATCAGAAGACCAAACTATGGCTATTGAAAAAATTCTACTTTATCTTGGAGAAAATAACTACATCAACTACGAAATTTGGTGGTGCTCTCTCTCTTTCTTATATTCTTGGGTGAACAAGCTTCAGAAGGAAGCTATCGTCGAAGCAGCTTAGGTTTATGAGGACGTTGTTGATGAAACTCCTATACCTTTTGCGGTGCATTGGCTAGATTTTCAGCTGGTTCCCACGTTCGTTTATTAATGTCATAGTTGCACCAATGAACAAGATACTCCAACTTGCCCCACCTTCGCCATGAATCCAGTACCTTTTTGACCTCGTATTCCTTATGGTTCTCGATTTCAATACTAGGTGGTGGACATTGCACTCTTCCAGAAAAAGACGACTCTCGATAAGGCTCCAACAGAGAAACATGAAAGACTGGATGTACCTTCATAGAAACTCGTAATTCCAAAGGGTACGCCACTGGATTGATTTGCTTCTGGATGATAAATGGTCCCAATCTTCGATAGTCCAACTTATCATATGGTCGCTTCATCTTGATATTCCGTCGAAGAAGCCATGCTTTATCTCCAATTTTGAAAGTAGGTGCTTGATTCCGAAATCTATCTGCAAACACCTTGTAGGATTCTTGAGCAGATTGTAATTAAAGCTTCAACGTAGTTTGAAGCTTTGATAGTTACTTCACAAATCCTTAAGCTGCTGGATTGTTATTTGTTGACGGACTCAATAAATGAAGCTTCGGATGATACCCATAGTTGGAAAAGAATGGTGTGTATTGAGTCGATGCATGGAGGGTGTTGTTATATGCAAACTCGGCTAGCGACAGATATGCGATGCAATCGTCTTGCAGATAGTTGTTGCTGCATTGTAAGTATTGTTCCAAGACTTAGTTCACCCGTTCCATTTGGCCGTCAGTTTGAGGATGAAAAGCCGAAGAAAGCTTGATATCCACTTTCAGTATCTCAAAGAGAGATCTCTAAAACTTTGATACGAATTGGGTTCCTCGATATGATATGATATCATCAGATAGTCCATGATATCAATATACATTATCGAGAAAGAGCCTTGCTGTGACTTCACTAGACGATGTCTTCTTGCAAGGGACAAAGTGCGCCATCTTTGTAAGCCGATCTACCATGACAAAGATGCTGTCAAATGAACTCAATGATGGCAGGTCCATGATGAAGTCCATAGAAACTAAAGACCATGCTCGACGTAGAATCGGCAATGGATGTAGAAGTCCATAAGGGCGATGCCAAAGATTCTTGGATCTTGAACAAATGTCACAGGAGAGGACATAATCTTTCACATCCTTCTACATTTTGGACCACCAGAAATCTCGAGAAGTAAGCTCCAAGGTCTTGTTGAATCCAAAATATCCCGCTACTGAAAAATTGTGGCGAGATTGAAGAACTCGGAGTCGTGTTGGTACTTTTGGAATATACAATCGCTCTTTAAAGTATAAAAGATCACCCTCTACCTTGAACTTGTCGTCATTGGCATGCTGCTTGATATCAATGGCTACTGAATCTTCAATGGTCACGGCACATACTTGGTTCAAGAAGTCAGCATCAATTGGCACAATAGTAGCGCAAAGCCGAAATTGCTCTGGCTTCAACAACATCGTACCTTGTTGATCAAACGCTGCTTCTCCAGCCTTTGTTATAAGATACGATCTCCTCGATAAGGTATCGGATAGTCCTTGCTACTTTCCAAGTCAATAAGTGATAACAAAATCAAACCTAGATAGCAACATACTCCATCAAGCTTAATATCAATTTAGA